CTCTCTCTCTCTCTCTCTCTCTCTCTCTCTCTCTCTCTCTCTCTCTCTCTCTCTCTCTCTCTCTCTCTCCCTCTCTCTCTCTCTCTCTCTCTCTCGCTCTCTCTCGCTCTCTCTCACACACACTTTCTCTCGCAGGAGCATCGGCTGCACCGTCTACGAGATGCTGACGACGAAGCCGCCGTGGTCCGAGTACGAGACGATGGCGGCCCTCTTTAAGATAGCGACGGAGCAGCCGACGCTGCGGCTGCCGGCGAGCGTCTCGCAGCAGGCGCGTGACTTCCACCAGATCGTCTTCCAGCGCGAGTCGCGCAAGCGGCCGTCCGCCGAGGAGCTGCTCAAGCACGCGTTCGTGCAGGTGCACGGCCCGCCCGTCTACAGCCAATAGCCGCCGCAGCCTTCGCGCTGATCTGGAACCCGACCTCAGCGTTGTCCTCGGCATTGACCTTGGTGGCGATCTTGGCATTTACCTTGGCGGCGACCTTGGCATTGACCTTGGTGGTAACCTTGGCATTGACCTTGGCGGTGACCTTGGCATTGGCCTAGGCAGCGACTTCAGCATTGACCTTGGTGGTGGCCTTGGCATTCACCTTGGCAGCGACCTCAGCATTGACCTTGGTGGTGACCTTGGCATTGACCTTGGTGGTGACCTCAGCATTTACCTTGGTGGTGGCCTTGGCATTGACCTTGGCAGCGACCTCAGCATTGACCTTGGCAGTGACCTCGGCATCGACATTGACCTTGGCAGCGACCTTGGCATTGAGATTGCTAGCAACCTTAGAGGCCTCCATGACGACCTTTTCCGCGACCTCGGTGACTTGACGACCCCGACTACGACCTTGTCTGCGACGACCTCGATTGCGACCTTTGCAGCCACCTTGATCGAGATCGTCATCGTTCTGGATGGCGAATACGGCATTCGTCGCACCGTGACCCAGTACGGCCAGCGGAACAATTGTTGCGAAAGACCGGCGAATGTCGTCACTGCTAGTGCTGAATGTGCCGAATTGGTTGTCCCACGTTCTTCACCGGTGTCGCGGAGTCAGATCGCAGAGCATGCCGACTGCAGGCATGTTCGTGTGCAACACACATCGCAGATCTCGCGTCAGCTCTCCTGCTCCAGCATGATCCGACGTGGGGATGGTGAAATTGGCCCGTTGTCAATTGCTGCTGCTAGTCTCCCTAGACACCCCCGGTGACTGGCTGCCATAGATTGATCGTAGGTCGTGATACTTACCCAGGTGAACGTGCTGCACGTCTGGGAAGCAACTTTGTAAAAAAAACTTGTACATTTCACTCGGCAGTGTAAAGCGTGCGTTTACTTTGATTTAGATTTAGTGCTGCAGTGATAGCATTTCCTCTGGAATTGCTTATATGGTGCTGGGTGGCCATGAGCAGAAGTGCTCGGCTACTGTATCTAATTGCTTTTGGGAGAAGGGTTTATATAGCAGTGCATGTGCTTACTGTTCACAATGGGTCTTGCTCGTGAAAATATTGGCATTCTGTGGGTAACGTGATTTCTGTGCTTATATTAAGCACACTGGCTGGCATTGTTAAACTGGCTTTTATATACCAGTTATCAATTTTAAAGATGGTGACATATTTATTTTCGTGTTTTATTACCTACACCCTGTATGTAATCGAATATCCCCTGTCAGATAAATATCTGCTTGCTCTCGCTCTGAGATCAAAATTCTAATACTGTCGCATGAATTTTTTATTCAATCTCCTACAATTTGGCTGTAATCTAATTGCGCTTGTTCCCATTTATCAATAAATTCAGTTAAAGGCAAAAATGTATATCTGTAGAATGTGCTTGTAACTAGATCAACCTCACAGGTCTCGTGTTGGGGTGGACGTGCAGTGCTTAGGTGTGGGTGTATTTGGGTGAGTGCGCGCGCGCGTGTGTGGCACGTACAAACTGCGCTGAGGGTATCAAAGTATGTAGTAGACATTCTGAGTGTTATCTGTATTTGGGGGGATCTACCGCGGATATGGCTCTGCCTCATGAGACGGTTTTTAACCGATCTGTGTTTTCTCTGTGTACGTGCTTGCTCGTTCTTTGCAACCTAACTCCTGTTTATATTAATCTCATTCTTATAATTGTCACCAGTCTCTTGGGTTGAAGTCATTCTAAAGGATGCATGCCCTTCACAGTTGATACAAGCAATGATATTTAGGTGGGTTGTTGTGACGTTGACGTTGACTTGTGTAATTTTGGGTGTGGATGGCCATCCCTCTCCCACACCTTTACCTAAATTTTGGAATTATATTACTTTGTAGTTTGGCATAAGACGATTAAAATGCGTTGCCGTCAAGTCAGGATTTTTTTAATAGCACGTTGTGCCTCATTGTGTGTGCCTCATTTCATACCTAAAGTTTACAGTGTACCCTTTTTAAAACCTATGCCTGATTGTGTACCTCCTTACATTTCTATGGTTCATTGTGTGCCATTCCGTACACAAGATTCACAACGTGTTTTATCACATTCAGAGATTTTACAATGTGCCTTCTCCCACTAAATTCGAGATTTGCAATATATTATATGCACATGTTTACGATACGTCCAATCCAGACCCAAAGTTTTACAGTGCGTCTTATTTCATACCTAAACTTCACAATGTGTCTTATTTCATACCTTACCCAATGCATCGTGAGAAAAGAATACAAATGTTTAACAAATTGTTAAATTCCTGTATAACATCGGTAAACGCTGCATGCTTCATTAGTGAATTGTGAGATTAGTTTTTTCTCTTTCGTGTATAAGTGCAACCTGTTGCAGCTCACCATTTTGATGAAGTGCCTTTTGAATGAACGTAGAAGGTAGTCTGAGACAGATGCGACGGTCATTCGCATAGGTTATTGTAGATATTTTACCTAGTGGGCGCATGCGCATTACTTAATGTACAGAAACGAGGTCTGGAGAATTTTTGTTTGCGCGTCTATAAACTACACCACTTTATATAGAAATAAGAACGTGTTTTATTCAAGTATGTACAATATACATACATGTACATGGTGAAAATTCATTCGGGAATCGCAATGTAACTGAGAGCTTGATCGTAAGGTAAATAGTGTTCTCGCCTGACTAGCTTACTGTTTATGTATACTTTTTTTGCGGATATCCTTTCTTTGATTCTACTCATATATGCCGTATTATCATTTGGGACGCCCTAAATATCTTCTTTATTCCATAAATCGGGCGCAACTACTTTTTCTTATTTCAGTAGTCCCGATCTGTCTGCACACAAGTCGTAGTCGCCACCATATCTATGTGTGGTAACGCAACACTTGCTTTCATTAGTTGTGTATCGATTTTACGACTATTGAAAAAGAGGCTGAAAGAAACTTGCTGCACTGATACGCAACTAGTAGCTGTCGGGGGGGGGGGGTTGACCCGAGATTTCCGTGTCTGTGGTATGATGATATCAACTAAAAAAAACTCTAGTTAATTAAGTACGTAACCGACCTGTTTTTGGACTTGAACAGCAACCTAATTAATAATAAAATCCAATTCGACAGCCACTAAAAAATATTTAAGCATCGGAAATATAACGTCTCGTGTCTTGTACAGTTTCCAGTCACGGAACAAGTGCTCTATTGTGCGATGTCGCTATCTTATTGCGCATCGTAACTCTATAGAAATCCTATGCAAATGAATTTCCATTTCAGTCATGGAACACTTTTGTCGTAGTGCTTTTGTCGTTGTTTTTTGTTCTACGGCAACCGATTTGCAGGGGCTTACGCCTAATGTTAATAGTTACGCCCATGGTTTTAGCGAGCCCTTGTCTCACTCATGCATTCCTCGCTAAAACTTCCGCTTGTTCACACGCTTCAGCGACAGTACCACCACGTCGCTGTAGGTACTTGATGTGATCTGTTGAAATGAAAAGCTCCTGAAGGTGATATAACCAGAAGTCTATAATATAGAGATTATATATTATATCTCTATAGTATACACTCCTGATGTAACTGTATAGTGCTGGATACACTGAATCGCATGCTGTCGTTAATTTAAGACTAAAACACCCGGCGCGAATAACAACTGTAAATGCGCCGTGGTTCATGTTACGATGTCAGTAACCGAGCCAGTAGTCCGAGAATTTGACACCTCCCCCTCCTCCCTTCCCTGCAAATTACATCCTATTATGTAAATGCATTGTATAATAGTATCAATAGGCCATTAAGATTAATTAATCTATTATTAATTAATTAGTGCGCCCTTGATAATGTGCCGCCTTTGCCTCCTAAGCGGGTGTCGGCACCCCCGTCACCTTTGCGCACGTACGGTTTGGGCAGACGACGCCGTCATCGCAGCACGGCCAATGATTATCTCGCTTGGGTAACAACTGTTTGGGATTAAAGGTTTTGGGGATTTTTAAAGTTGCCCCTCCGCCCGCCTAGCTCTTCTAAGACGAGTATGGTTCAGTTAGTTATTCTATGGTTAGTGCTATGTTATCTGATTCTAATGCTTCCGATTCGCCCATGTCTTTCTAATGCGTAGTTTCCGATCCCGCGGCTCCCCCTTTTATCATGTCGTTCACTGATATTAGAATATTTCCTCTGTTCTGTAAATGGAGCCAAATATGCAGTTTGATGTTTGAAGAGAAATCGCTTACTCGTGTTCTCTGGTCTTTTTGCTGTGGTTTGAGCAGAGCAGCGAGTCTTCAATGTATTTGCTGCAGTGGGAAGCGGGGCTTGCAAACTTCACCTGTTAGACATATCTGTAAAGAATCTAGCTGTTTTGCCGAATTGCCGTCTTCTGCTTCGCGTCTTCTCGTCCGTTAGCCAGTTGGCATTGCAATGGCATACAATTATGTGAAAATAGTACATAGTATGCGTCTAAACTTTCGTGTACTCGTGTTTTTTTAGCTTGTTGTTATCATTATATTCTGTACTAAAGCAGTAGACATATTTCTGTGAATATATATTTACATAGGTCTGTCTTTATTCACCCCTTATATATCAGAGGGTGAGTACAGACAGACCTTTATAAATATTTGATGTATAGTTTTAGCTTTTTTTGCCGTGCTGCTCGACACGTTGTTTTATTTACTGCGTAGTAGCCATCAATGAACACGCTGGCTGTAAAAGTTCGGTACTATGCTGTCGTTGTTCGCTGTGTTGTGCGTTATGTTATGAATTGTTCATGTAACGTTACGAGAGAACGCGTTTCTCTTTGTGTGTTGAACGCTAGCGGTTGGATTTACATACAGTCTATTGTTCTCGTATTATATGATAAAACTCATGTTAAATATCATCGCATTGTTGCTCTTGTCTTCTTCTGCGTGATTAGCACTGATTACCGGGTTATTTAGCCATTCTTTGTCAACCGTGTATCATATTCGGCGGTATACATTTATTTCGCACGTCACTATTTAAATTATATTACAAAATATACTCATTTACGGGCATATTTCCAAAATTCCAAAATGTTTACGCTATTACCTACTATGATTGCGCGAATCTACTAACGTTAGCTAGATCAAGCGCATTTACAGCGATAGGAATTAGCGGCATTCTATGGACATATCATAGAAATGTATAGAGTCTAATTAACTACTGTATTATTTCTATGGGAGATTTAGTTGAAGCCGGATCCGCGCATTCGCAGACGATCTGGTTACGAATAATTATTTTCAAAGCAAAACGAAAATTAAACGTTTTATTGAAAAGGAAATTACCCGAGTGTTAAACGGGGTAAAAGGGTGATGTGTGTAATGCACGTATAGTGAACGTATTTGCAGATTTGCAGTAGATCGTTGTCAACTATAATCAGGAATAGGCTATACAAAACAATGTGCCTCCACTTTGGTTCTAATGACCTCCATGGCATATTAATTTCTACGCTGAAAATGGGAAAATGGGGTAATAATAATTAAGTGACATCCCACTCCTGGCTTTGCTCTGCGGAATAAATGTGAAAATACATTGATAATGCAATATTACAATGTCTACAACGCCGTACACTTATATCATGTTCGTGTATGTAGGGCATACATGCAGTGTTATGGTTATCCACAAGAAAATTTTATTTTCCTGAGATTATACATTTAAAGTAAAAGACATACATACATACATACATATATACATATACATATACATATACATATACATGTATACATATATATTGACGAGTAGTTTGATTTGAAAAAAATGCATGCCTTATTTTAATAATAGTAAGGCATATGGCTATTGGCTGTGTTAGCGCGCGTCCAGTATCCGCCAAAAAATGATTTTGTTGAGACCATAAACTTAAAGAAAAGAGCACATATCTGCGTAGCTTGATATGAAGAATATCTATATTTTCATAAAAATGTACGTTATTATAAAGCATTCACATAGCCATCCTGAGTATCCCTTCGTTGTAGCATAGGGTGAGATCTGTGTCTGTGGGAATCTAGTGTACGCCATAAGTAATATAAATTTGTTGTAATTATGCATTTAAAATAGCGAACATTTACTCGCTGAACATGTGAAGTGATTAATAACTATCTGAATGCATTACTTCAATCGTTATAACTTACATAAGGTGATGAGCCTTCTTCACTCCGCCGAATACAGCGAGAATATTGAAATCATTTCTCATTGGTCCAATTTCGTCACGTTTCTCGCGTATTACTAACAGAGGTCGCTAATTCATTGCTATGACGATCTGGCGACTCAAATAGGTGAGTTTGGTGTTTGTCACGCGAAAGTTTATAAATACCACATTAATTACTATCTATGTAATGTCTATGTTATTAATTGTCGAATAATATTAGGTATTGATGTGTTAGTAACCTGATATTTCACACATTTTGCTTTAGCTGGCATGCTTTACCAGCGTTCAATGACACTTACAGTCCCCGTAGGCCGTAGCCCGGTCGGTTCAAGGATAGAGAGCATGGCGAGATTGAGACCTATGTCATTTTCGTAAATGTGGGGGTAGCTCCTTTAAAATCGAGAGGGGTGTTGTTGAGGGTGCTGACTAATAATTTCTTGCAAGAAATCTGTCATTTGTTGTCAGAAAGGCGGGACAAAACGTCTTTTAACCGAGGGTGCTCCCTGCTCACCTTGTTTTGACCCGGGGGGGGGGTCACTCTCTATTAGAACATTACCCCATGTGCATTCTCACTAAAAATAATAGGCCCTCTAGTGCGAACTGCACATTGGAAAACCCTACCCCCTATTGCAGACACAATTGAAGAATACCACCCCCTATTGCATACACAATGAAAATATCCCACCCCCTATTGCATACACAATGAAAGAGTTCTACCCGGGGGCCTACCCCCTATTGCGAGGTCTTGCAGACAAGTGGAGGGCAAAGAGTGGAGGGAATACTTGTGATCAACTCAAAGAAGACTACTTGCAACTCTCGTGTGCTACGGGGCCGCCCGTTCGGGGCCTGGGGCAGGGTACTATGTGGTTCGTCATGAGGGGGGCCTACTGCGGGCGCGGTGCTTGACTTGAACGATCCCAAGGGCTTATTGCGGGATAGCTTTGTAAAGGGGGGCCTATTTGCTCTCGTGCGGGCCCGCTTTAGAAGTTGAAAAACACCCCCCTAACTCGCAAAATTTGGAATGACCATGGGGTAATAACGGCATATATAGTGACCCCCTCGGGTTTTTGACTGTTTCTCACGATTTCAACGCTCGCGTATTTCATGCGATTTCACTTACAAGTTACAATCTATCTGCTACGGCCTTCACATTTCTCTTCGTATTTCCGCGCGTCATTTATGCACTTATATTACGTGGTTTCCGCAGTCAATTACCTCAACAAACGTCACATCATACTGGATGGTACTCAGCCTCAGGGGCTCCTCCAAAGAAAAAAAAAAAGCTCGCGTTGCAACCTAGATACAATAATGTAACCCAACAAGAGTAGGGTTACAACGCGAGCCTATTCTTTTCTTTGGAGGAGCCCCTGAGTGATTTACTCAGGGCGGTTTTATGGTGCGTTTTTTGAGACTAGAACTTTCAAACTGGGTTTATTCTAAACACGAACCTTTCTCCGCTATCCTGGGACTTACTATGTATCACAATACTCTGTATTAAACTATTATATAACCTGTTACAAAATTTCGAAGTGACGAGCGGCGATATTTCGAGCGCCATTTCTGTTGACCTGTGACGTACGCATTCCCAATGCGTATAGCGTTCGGCGAACTTCGGCTCCAAGATCAAATGCATTATGGGATGCCTGCTGTCAGTCATGACATCACCAGAGCCAGCATGTCAGGCAACACAGGAGCCGAAGGCGAAGGTAGCCGAATGCTATGCGCATTGGGAATGCGTACGTCACAGGTCAACAGAAATAGCGCTCGAAATATCGCCGCTCGTCACTTCAAAATTTTGTAACAAGTTATATTAGTTTAATACAGAGTATTTTGATACATAGTAAGTCCCAGGATAGCGGAGAAAGGTTCGTGTTTAGAATAAACCCAGTTTGGATGTTCTAGTCTTTGGTGCGTTTTTCCCTATTCTTTTCTTTGGAGGAGCCCCTGAGTGATTCACTCAGGGCGGTTTTATGTATTGTGAAGGAATATTGACATTATTGTATGTGTAGCTAGTATTTAATGGTCAGTAAATTAAGGTTACCGTTAGGATTAGGCATTATTGAAAAGATGTAGGAAAATTTAGGATTAGGCTTGATTTTCAGGAAACAAAGTTGCTTAGTTCCTTGAAAATTTACACCGCACCGTGTTTACTAGTATATATGTGTAAATGTATGTACTTGTGTCAAATCTGGAAATTATTAAAAAAAAGAAAAAAAGTTCGAGTACTCGGTCGTCCGATTTTCTACTCGATTAATCAACTCGGCAGCCCAACCCGAACTCGATCGGAACACCACTAGTACCTACTATAAACCTTTAAATGATTAGATAAGCTTATATTATTCGGAGTGGCTGGAGGTACGGTAGATACAATCATGTAACCCAACAAGAGTAGGGTTACAACTAGATACAATAATGTAACCCAACAAGAGTAGGTTTAGATACAATAATGTAACCCAACAAGAGTAGGTTTACAACGCGAGAGTACCTATATTAACAGTGATTCGTGAAGGTGTCCTCTAGACTACACACTGATGCACTTCTACTTCGCTACCAATACATGTCCACGTTGCGATTTAGGAAGATCATCATCTCCACATTGCTAGGACTCAGCCGTGCACGTTTCTTGTTTACGAGGTTGTTCACGTTTCTTGTTTTTTGCTCTACTTGTCATATCAATTCACACATCGTGAGTACAGTTCCTTGTTTGTTTGTTTTGCTATTTCCGATAATCAATTATTTGTTTTCATAATCGATTATCAAATTTGAGACTATAATCGATCATCGGGACATCACTACTAATTAGTATCACAACATGTCACTAGTAACAGTAGTAAAACAGGTAGTGGTACTAGTGTATGTATACTGTAAGTGTTTACACACTGGCCGGGGTACCTACTAGTGTTGGAGATCGGTCCAAATTTCATGATCGATCATCGGTTTTACAAAACGACCGATGATCGATTAATCATCGATCATTTTAGATTGCGGCAACAACGCGGTGACGCCGCGTCATCGTCGACACAACCGGCAGCTCTGCAATCAGACAGTACACTAGTATTATAGACATGGACTACTGTCCAATTCCTTTGTTTTTAGCTCATCTGACAGAGTCAGATGCAGCTTGTAGAATCGCTTGATCGTCCGTCCGTCCGTGCGTCCGTCCGTGCGTCCGGCCGTACGTCCGTGCATCAACAGTTGGGCACAAACGACGTACGGTCACGATATTCGGGACGTCGGGGGGGATCGTCAAAACGAGTTGGGCTGTCGAAGCTGGGGGTCAAAGGTCA